GAAAATACTTTAAATGATATATATATACTCATATTTGTGAAAATTGCAACACCATGAAGGAATCGTCATAATTGAATGAAATTTACTACACAGTTGAGTGGTAGTATTACAAATACATGATTAAACTTTCAAAGCAAACATACAATAACAGGAGATCGAAATCCGTATTTTGTGTAGCCACCACGCACCGCAATAAGCGCTGCTACACGACGTAGCATGGAGTAAAGCAAATTTTGAATGTCTGTCTGAGGAAGAGCATTCCATATAGTTTGTATGCGTACCTTAAGTTCGTCTGTAGAAGCAACAGGACGAGGATCACGAACGAGGAACTGACCAACGAAATGACACACATGTTCAATCGGTGACATATGTGGGGAATACGCAGGCCAAGGAAGAAGCTGTACCTGCAATGCAAGGAAGGATTGAACAGTCCTAGCAATATGAGGGTGGGCATTGTATTGTTGAAATACTGCGCCTGGCAAGGCTTGAAGGAAGGGAACAGCTTGGGGCTGTAAGACTTCACAGATGTACCGGTTGTTGATCAGATTACCCACAATTCGTAGCAATTCAGATCGTAAATGATATGCTATGGCACCCCAGACCATAACTCCGGGTGTTCGTCCATTGTGGCGTTCGATAATGCACTCCGGAAGGTGGCGTTCACCGGCATAGCGTCTGACACGAATGCGGCCATCATGGTACCACAAATTTAAGCGAGATTCGTCAGAAAACACGACACGCTGCCAATCAGCACTCCAGTCCCTATGCTGATTGGCCCATTGTAGCCGCAGGCGGCTATGGGTTAGAGTGATATAAAGGAGTACAAAGGATATATAAAATAAAGGAGTTCTTGCGCGCAGTCCACGCTGCAGTTGACGTCTACGAATTGATGAAGCACACAATGAAGCTCCTGTAGCTATTGACCAATGTGCTGTCAGTTGTCTAGAGGGAGCCATACGGTCTGTCAGCGTCATGCGGACCAGGTGTCTATCATCGGGAGCTGACGTGACATTTCGGGGTCCACTCCCAGATTTCCGAGTTGTCTGAAACTCGTCCGTCCACTGCTTCTAAACACACATCACTGTGCTGCTGTTACGCTGCATACGAGCGGCTACTGCACGATAAGACAATCCAGCTTCACGAAGGCCGATGATTCTCCCCCTTTCAAACTCCGTAAGCTGTTGAAATCTCGCTCTCTTTCGTCGAAGAGGCATAAGTAGCGCCTGAGCTAACGTTTACTACTAGCAGATAACCACCGATAACCATACACGCCTCGCTACAGCCGCCTATTTATTCGGATCCATCCGCCGTTCAGAGGGGGCAGCTCAGCATACGCATGCGCTACAGGGATGAAATTATAATCATTTGCATATTATGCTCTACTTTGCATTTCCTGAAAATTTCAGCTCACTCGCGTGAGTCTTCATGGTGTTGCAATTTTCACAAACATGAGTTTATATATATAAGACCTTTCAACCTGCCTAGATCCCTATGAAATGATGATTTTTGTGAGGAAAAAAATATGGCCATAATGAAATTAAAAAATACTGAAGATTTTTCAATCCTTATGATATAATGGCAATATTTGCAAGGAGCGGAATTTTTCCATCAGCTTATCATCTGATCAAGATGGTGTTTTCTTTTTTCCTCATTGCAGCTGACAGTTTGAAATCAATTGAATAATTAATTATTCTGCGACTGGGTGAGAGCAACTTAAATATTTTTACCCTTTAGATAAATCGCAGCCAGTCTGACAAATCTAATTCAATAAACGTTAAGTCGAGAGTGATACACAGGACAGTTAATTTATAACTAACTGTCCTGTGTAACATTACTAACATTAACAAATTTATAACTAAATTTATAATAAATTAATTTATGAAAAATAATTTATAATAATTTAAATTTATGCTACATAAAAGTTGTAGTATCATTTTAATATTTTATCTACATCTTAGAGTTGTAAATTATTCTTTGGGTGACTGTTCGGGAAAAATCTCGAGGATACCATCACAATTCTGATCCCTTGCAGAACGAATGCTTACACCGGCTCGGAAGCCCGACAATCTTCGCGTATTCGAGCAGTAATGTAATGTATAACAGTTTGAAAAGGAGCAATACCGCGCTCCATCGGTCCCTTCTTAATTCCAAAGGGAAAAGTCGAGAGTGATGCATGAAACAGTTTTATTATTATTTACAATGAAAATATTTAAAGAAAGACTGATTATGCTTCATAAGATTTAGGTACTAGTTCCCGGATAGTTAACACATGTACAATGCGTTTCTATAAAGTGTTAAAACGTTACTCTGAGAGATTTGCCAAATTTCTACGCTTTTTGGGTAAATTTCTTCGAGTGGCAGATAAATATATATTTTGAGGAATGATTCCTTGTTTTGTGAATTTGATTTAAAACTATTTTCCACACCACTGCCTGTAAATTATTCAAAAGTTCATATGAAACGTCACGTTCATACGTTGTAGTTCTCTTGATGGAAAGCTGTTTAATAATTGGCGAAAATTGCCAAAAATTTTTAAAGTTTAGTTTTTAATTGTCAACTTTTCTTAAAATATTTTGCAAAAAACGTAGTAGTTCGTAGCTGTAGTCGACCAACTACTTAATTAACGTCTTAGTTAATAAAAGTGTTCTAAACATTACTTTTAAAAGCATTTTAAGATAAGTTCGACTATAAAAAAAATTCATTTAAAATTAATGCAAATTATCTAAAATTTCTTACTTTTCAAACAGTTTTCTGAAACAAAGAAAATATAAACTAATATAAAAAACAATTTTTTTATGTAAATAAAATAATAAAAAAAAATAACACCCGGGAACAAATTTTTTTTGTTGCATTTTGACAAGTAACTGATCTTATTTAATTCAGATACGGGGATTTAAAATCTGAAATTATTTTTGTTGGAAAAGTTGCAGAGTTTTTGTGAAAATGATATTTTAACTTCAGTTTAATTGCGTAAATGCGCAAGTTTATAAAGAGGATATTTATTTTATATTTTATAACCGTCGTTGAACAGCCAACCCAAATTTGGGTTTACGACTCTTAATTTTCAAATACGCAGCCTTGTTTGAACCGAGTTCAGAAGACAAGAGAACTCTTGGATCAAGTATTGGGCGAAATTTGCCTTCGTGGAGGACTTTTGATGGAAATAAACCAAAATTGCGTTACATGGAGACGAAAACCACGAAAACCTCCCATGGTTATCCTGACGAAGACGAGACTCTAACTGATAATCTATCTACTACTGAGGATATTTTACGTCAGCACTGTGGTCGGTACGAGTCGGGTGCGAATCAACCAGCCATCGCTGGGACACGAACCCTGTTCACCTCATTGGTGGGTGAGCTCTCTATCCCCTAAATCCCCCGGATATATACATATACATACATTTATACACTTTTCTTCTCTGAAAATAACACTTAAGACAAAAAGAAAATGACTCTAACGTGACACATCATAAATTCAAATATATTATTGCTCTCTTCCTATTACTCTCTAGATAGCAGAGAAATGAGGACACCTATTAATCACTTTGAGAGAATATTAAAAACACCTAGTTCGGAGCATAATATTGAATTGAGGTAAATTGTACCCTGTAGCGAGAAACTGGTGTGAGATCTGAAAGCCAAGGCGAGAAAATATCTAAGATTCGTTCAAAAATGATATGTAGCAGAAAAAAAAAATTCCCTGATATAATTTGTACAGGCATGTCTTGGGGACACTTTTCTTTGCAGAAGATTTTTTAAAAAAAAACTTACCGCAACTACATCCTCAAGCTATTTGAAAGAAAAAATAATTTTCATTATTTTATGATTATGATTTTTACAATTGTATTTGTGAATAAAAAAGATAGATATAATTCTAAATTAATATTAATTGAAACAAAATGGGTATTTATTTGTCTAATTATCATTATTATTCCAATGGTCCAGTTTAAAAGTTGTAAGAAACAACCAATCTGTCACAATTCGAAGTATTCCAAGATTCCCCAAATCACTAAACCCCCTCGCAAGATTCTTCCTACGCACAAAAAAAAAAGAAGAAAAAAGTAAAATAGGAATACTATGTCTTTAAAAAGAAGTATATTTAAAATTTGAATTTTCGATATTTATACGAAAGATTTCGTACAAATTTTGTGATTTGTTATATATGTTACCGGCAAAGTTTGGAATCATTGTATATAATGCCTGAAACTAGATGGCAATGCAGAGATGCCAACTGCTCCGGACAAGCCAAAATAATTAAAAAAACGGTAAGTAACTACAAAGTAAATTTTGCAAATATTTAACTATTTTTGCTTGCTTTTTAAAGGGTATGGCATGACGAAATTACTATAAAGTGGTGAAATCTATAAGCCTACGAATTATTTAGATATAGTGGTGGATAAAAATCTACTAAATTGAATTTATTAAACCAAAAATCACAATTGATAAACTACCACTTTAAGATATATATTTACCGTCCGGAGCAAGTTGGCATCTATGGCAATGTATAAAACGATTTATATTTCACACATTTCCTAGGCTTTCTATAGAATGCCAAATGAGAAACCGGCAAAGTATAAAATACATCTCCGATTCGTCAAAATGTCATTCAAAAATGAAAAATTCAAAACGTCATTCACGCCTGCCATGTTGCAACAATTAGGTTATTTTCTTATTTTTTATATGAAAATTTTGTTTCCCTTAATAAGAAAGGCATAAATTATGTTTTGCACAACTTTTTATTTTTCTTTAGACATTTTGAATAAATGTTTTTTAATGGCTCTCTCAGTATTTTTTCAGAATAACATTTTTATTTTTGAGAAATGCATGTTACTGTGAATGACCGAAATCTGGAGAATGTCGACTTTCACCGGTGAATGTCAACAATCACCGATTTCGGTCATTCACAATAACATGCACATTATTTACATAATAACCTCATCAGTATGTTTTTTTCATACTTTGCCTAAATAGCATTTGTCATTCCATAGAATGCCTAGGTATTTTATACAATGCCTAGGAAAGTATGTAATACTTCTCGCATTTCATACTTTGCCTAAAAACATCCGGGATTATATACAATGCCGGCTTTTCCAACTTTGCCGGTAACATATAAATTAACATACATTTAAAATGATTCAGAAACATTATATACCTTACAATTCAAAATTTTATGTACAATTATTGAATTAAATGTTAAAAATTATTAAATTATCATTAAAATTATTTTTGCGTTGAATTATCTTTGGAAAAACAAATTTTGTAAGTATGTGCAAAAACGTTTTCAATTCGCTTCATATGATCTCGAGATATGCGATGTACGCAAAAAGTAAATGAAACATTAAGGAGTCCAAATTTTCGACGGCTCTCTTGAAGAAATTATTATAATCATAATTTCCAGATTCTTAATCTCATATTATGAGAGTCAAAAATCTGAATTCATCCATTAAATAAATTTTCATATCACGCTTTTGTAACTGATTTGTGACTTAAAATATAGTCTGTACCACTTGGAAGTATTAAGATTGAGTCATAGATTGAGAAGATCCGATCATTAGATCAAAAGTTATCCAGGGTATTAAGTTTTTTTTATTTTATTTTTTACCTTGCACCTATTTTAAATTTTTATTTCCTATATAGAATGTAATAATTCATTGGATAGATAATGAGTTATCTAATGAGTTTGTATAATGCATTTATTACACTTTTCCCAATATAATTTCTTGGATCCCATTAAAATTGTGAAATTTATCATTTAAAGTGATTTAGCTTATACTAATAAAAGAAATGTGTCTGCCGTCATTTAATAAATAAAATTATTAAAAATAATTAGTAATTTTTTTCCTTTTAATCGTTTTTGGATAAAATAAATTTTTTAAATTTCAAAATGTAAATAGATTATATTTTAAATTTCAAAATGTAAATAGATTATATTTTAAATTTCAAATGTAAATAAAAAATTCAAATTGTACTTAACTGATTTTGAAAAGATATTTTATTTAAAAGCATGAAATTGTAACTTTTGTTGTCATTTTTTTCTTAAAATACACAACTTTTTTAATGATAATAAAAATAAATAATGAAAAACTAGAAAATATTTTCAGACAATTATTTTTGTAGACAAAGTTTCATTTGGATATAATTTTTATTACAAGATCTGAAAATTTTACGATTTTTTTTTATTTGCTTAAATTTCTTCATAGGTGTGGAGAAGTACTCAAAAATTTATAGCATAAATTGCAATACAGGAAAATTTTTCTTACTTGAACTATTGAGACGATATTCAATAGATTGAGCTCTTTTTTTGAGACAATATTTAATAGATTAAGCTCTTTTTTTGAGACGATATTTAATAGATTGAGCTCTTTCTTTGAGACGATATTTAATAGATTGAGCACTTTTTTGAGACAATATTCAATAGATTGAGCTCTTTTTTTGAGACGATATTTAATAGATTGAGCCTTTTTTTGAAACGATATTTAATAGATTGAGCTCTTTTTTGAGACGATATTTAATAGATTAAGCTCTTTTTTTGAGACGATATTTAATAGATGGAGCTCTTTTTTTGAGACGATATTTAATAGATAGAGCTCTTTTTTTGAGACGATATTTAATAGATTGAGCTCTTTTTTTGAGACAATATTCAATAGATTGAGCTCTTTTTATGAGACGATATTTAATAGATTGAGCCTTTTTTTTTTAGACGATATTTAATAGATTGCACTCTTTTTTCCGACCCGGGAGTAAAAAATATGATCCCGTCCCCAAATTTACTGAGAAAGTACGTAATGTCTGATTTAAAATTTCGTCTGTTTGATTTAATTAGTAAGTTTTACTTCATAAAAAATCCAAAATACGTATTAATAAGTGAGAATTCGTTAATTGGATCTAGAATTATTACGTTTGTTTTTTTCATGTAAATGACATAAATAATATTTTCATACACAATAGAACAATTAGGATATTCGTAAGAGGATAAATTTTGTCTTACCCCTTTGCTGATTTGCTGGATAAAGAAAAAATTAANAGATATATATATATATATTGCTCTACGAAAAAGGATTTCTTTCACGAAAAAAACTCCACAATTGGAGATGAAATTCATTTTGATTTATTTTATTTATTTATTTGTTTGTTCAATTATTTTGATAAGTAATTTTTTTATAATTATTTATTTGCTTTTAATTTAAAAAGAACCTACTGGCAAAATAAGTAGGTAAATTTCTTTTCTAATTTAAAATATTTATAAATTATTTTGTTTCGTTATTTTGATTTGTAATGTTTACTTAAAAATCACGGGGACCGTCTGCGAAAACGCTCTAAATTGGCGATTTCCAAAATGAACCCAAGGGTGGGGTTCAACTAACATGATATATTTAAAAGGCTATAATATTAAATATTACAATCATTATACATTAAATATTATATTGAAGCCGTTAATATATTAAATCCATTATTAAACTAATATCTAGATTTTCTCCGCTATTATTGGGATTTTCAATTTTATTAGTATTCCAGATTAATTGCGAAGGACTAAAAGTTAAATTTCTTTATTAAATATTGCAGTTTTGGATGAGTTATATTAGAACAGTTTATTAACCAGCTATTTTACTTTCTGTAAGCAATTTTCACGGTAAAAACATACTCCATTTTGTGACTCCATTTTGAAAATTACCAATTGAAAGTGTTTTTACAGACTATTCCAGAGAGTAAGAAACGGTTTCAAATTGAACTGATTATAATCGACACGATAACTGATATAATTTTTCAACTGCTCTTGTTTTATTGAGAATTCAACAGCTTTCAAGGGAGTATAGATAAAGGTAAACAGAAAAAAAGGAAGTGTCTCTAATCTTTTAGAGATAGTACAAAACATTTTTCAACAATCATCAAAAAGATGCATGCTGAATCTTATCACGCAGAAATATTTTTTTTGCCATCTCTTAAAATTCTCAAAAACCAAAAAAAAACTGTAAACTTTATAGATATGTTTGGGGTAGACTTTAAAATTTACAATTTCTTTCCGAAAATTCTTTGTAAATGTACAATTACAATTCTTTAAAATTCTTATATTTAATTTTATGAATGGTACCGATGATATATTGTCTTGTTTCCAATAACCAAGGCTGAACTTAAATGTAACCATTGACCCTAAGGCTCCTATACTATCAGAGCTGACCTATCAAGCAATATTGGAGCAAACAGGTTCGCAAGTTAACGCTATGTTAGTATTAGCTATTGCAGACACGTCAAAATTACTTAAAAAAACGGTAAATAACTACAGAGTAAATTTTGCAAATAGCTGACAATATTTTCTTGCTTTTAAAAATGTTAAGCATGTAATAAATACTATAAAGTGGTGAATTATATAAGCTTACGCATTGTTTAAAAATAGTGGTGGATTGAAATCTACTAAACCGAACTTATTAAACCAAGAATTACAATTAATAAACTACCACTTGAAAATATTTATTCGCTGTGCTTATGTTAGCTCTTCGCTCCAACAATAAATGAAAAGTCGGCCCGTCTAATTCAGGGGCTCTAGTTGACCCCATAACAGTTAAGTTAGGGATCTAGTAAGGCCTTGCAATAACAAAGAAAATAGTTATCAAAAGAGCATTAAATACTTACATCTATGAATTGCGTTGAGCGGTCTCTTATCTATAAAAAGAAATTACGTCATTGAAAATAAATATAAGATGGGAAAAAAAATTTAAAAAATATATTTGTGTAATATGAAAACATTGTTTAATTATATTAACTCGTTTTATCCCGACTTTGCAAAAAGTGGCTTCATGA